CATTATATTTGCTTTTTATTGGGTCGTTCTTGTCTCATGACTTGAGTCGTGGATTTGATGGGTTAACCTAGTTGACTCAATCTTTTTTAATCGACTTTTTTCTTAATTTCATCAATTAATATTATATTGATTGAAAATTAGGTTTTGTGATTTATTTTGACTTGTTTTTTTTATTAAGTTATTCCAATGTTATAACCCGAAAATAATGCTTAACAGATTAACTCAGGTTGACTTAGCTTATTTTTTGTGTCATTATTTTTTTAATTTTAATTTTTATAAATTTTATCATTCAACATTAGATCCGTTAGGATCAATTGAGAATTAAGTTTCATAATTTGTTTTAATTTGTTTTTTAAGAGGTTATCTCAGTTTCATGACTAGAATCATAAATTTGATAGGTTAACCTAGCTTAAATCATGTTGTTGTTTTTTTATTTTCTTTTTATAAGGTTATCTCGATCTCAGCTAGATCATGGTTTTAACAGATTGAATTAGGTTGTTTTTTTTAATGTTTTTTTAATTGATTTATATTTTAATCTTATTCTTCAACATTAGGTTAATTGAGAATTAGATTTCGTTATTTGTTTTAATTTTCTTTCTATAAAATTACCTCGATCTTATGACCTGAGTTGCAGGTTTGATAAATTAACCCAAGTTGCTTTTTAGGTCCTTTTTATAATCGATTTTTATTTCAATTTTATTCTTCAATATTGGATTGATTGAAAATTAGACATCATAACTTGTTTTGATATGCTTTCTACAGGGTCATCATAATCTCATAATTTAGGTCGCAAATTTAACATGTTAACCTGAGTTGATCAAAGTCAATCAAACATGTTATTATCTTAATATTAAAAAACCATGTAATCTTTAATTGTTTTTAATCAAATAATATTTTACAGGTTATCCAAGTTGCTTTTGGACTCATAATATGCATGTTTTATGACAATACATGTGTTTTAATCATGCCTTAAAGTAATATGCATGTTTTGGAATGTATGTTCAAAATGGTATTAGATGTGGAAATTAATGTTTTTATGACTGTTAATATAATTATATTAGTTTATTTAAATAGGAGCCATATATGCTTTGATGTTTATGTTAGTCACTAGATTTGTTCTGATTTCATGTATTGATAAGTGATTTTATCAAAATTGTGATTATAGATTGTTTTTAGCTAGATGTTAGGTTTAATCAAGTTATGTTCATAATAATGTTTGTTGAAAACAAGTATTAAAATTAACGAAACAATTTAAAGTTGTAGATTTTTTTTTTAAAAAAATTCTATGGTTTAACTATTGCATTGTTGTTTTTTCCCTTGAGTTTTTTATGGTTCAAACAAGTTGTTATGATGAGTATATTTGAGCAAATATCGATGGATTTAGACCATTATTCTAGGATTTTAGATATTTTCTAGGTTTGAAGCTATTTCTAGATTCTTTTACATTTTTGTTCATAGGCTGCCATTTTGATTTATCAGCAAACTATTGTTTTTAGCTTGTTTTATCTGTTTTGATCAAAGCCTAGACTCCCACCTTGTACTAATAATTAGCCTTTTTAGGGCTAGTTCGGATCAATTGGTCAATATTTAACTTGATTTAAGGAATATTTGATGTTTTTATTCTCATTTAATATTTATTTTTTCTATATTATTATATGTTCTCTCTTTTTATGTTTTTGGTTTGATGCTATTTGATCTTTATTTTTGATTTAGTTTTTGGATTCTGGTGTTATTTGTGTTTTTAAGATGCTTAACTTTTTGATCTCTAGGAACTTTTTTTAATTATAGGTTAGTTTGGAAAGCCTAGTTTGTGTAATTGGACTAAACCTTTCGGTGGCCAAAGGCTATGTTTCACAAGGCAACAATTCATCAAAGAAATAAAAATATTTTTGGGTTCCTAAGATATGTTTGAAAAATATGTTCTTAGAACATTTTCAAGTTAGTAAATTCAGGGTGAGGATATATTTGACAAACATACCTTAATATTTTTTTTACAGTTTTATTTTTATATATTTTTTGTGTTTTCTCAATGTGGCCTAATTTAGCTTTAATTAATATTTATATTTTTAAAGGACTATTTTATAATTAATTTTGATTTTTCTATATTATTTTTATCTTTTTTATATTTAATATTTAGAATTGTGAACTTTATGTAAAACACTTTTCTAGTATTAAATATACTATTTGTTTTTTTGCAAAACAAAACAACAAAAATCTTTTTTTCAAAAATAAATAATAATAACATATTTATGTTTTAAATTGCAAATGATCAAGTTTCTCCAAAAATCATGTTTGGATTTTTAATTTAAAAAATAGAAAAAACATGAAAGAAAAAGAATATAAAAAAAACAAATTGCATGATTTAGCATTTCTTGAAAATAGCTAAAAAAAAAAATACTATATACTTTGCACGCATCATGGATTTAATAACAAGTTTATTAAAGTCATGAGGACTTGGTATAGATTTTAAAAACACACACACAAAAAAAAAATTAATTTATTGAAGTACATAATAGATGAATCTTTCTCTTTCTCTTTTTTTTTTTTGTTACTTTTAGTATTTGAGAACTACAAACTTATATGTATGATGTATTTTTAATATTAAAATAAATAAAAATAAAATATATTTTTCAGCCTTTGACGTGGTTAAATTTGACTCATAAAGATGGATGTACTTTAACCAATAGATATACTAGCGAATAGTAAAACACAACGAGGTCTTATAAATAATCAGACAAATAAATAATACAATTACCTTAAGTAAGGTATATTAGGGGTAATATTGTATTCCTTATACACAATTAGTCTCCTTAGCCAAATTCTGAAGACTAGTTAGAATTTCTACTGATTAAAATACTAGATAGTGACTCCAAACTTTTTAAATCATAAAAGAATAAAAATCTCTTGTTTTTTCCACACTTAAAAATCCTAATTTGGGAGGATGATTATCGTGATGTCGCACACGTATTACAATATGAATGTTTAAAGATAAAAAGGTTTAAAATATTTTTTTTTAATTTCATTCATTAGATATTCATATTGTAATAAAAATTTATTTTTTATTTTTCTAAAAAAATAGTTGCAGGAAAATACACAATCAAATACATATATGGGTGTAAAACCAAATTAATAATTAAAGATTATTCATTTCTTTGTCTTTTTTTCATCCTTCTTTTAGGTTTTTGATACATATTTTTTTAATTTTACCTTTTAATATTTATTTTTTTTATAATTAATATACATGACATGTTTCAGTTTGATTTATATAAGATTATCTTGGCCTGAGAAAATATCGTGACATTTGTTGCTTGTTTTGTTATTTTATATAGGATTATCATTATTTTACAACTCAAATAATAAGTTTAGTCTATTAACTCAAATTGATCTAATTAATTAATATGTCACCAAGTCAATATATTTTAAAAGATAAAAACAAAAAATCTTCTTGAATTTTTTTTGAAAAAGAAAAAAACATTATTATCCATTCATGTTACATTATGTGTGTGGGTTATTTTTTTAATTTTTTTTTTGATTTGTTTTTTAAAATTGCTTTGGCCCACTACATGGCTTGAGAAGCAACCTAGTTTAGAATTAAGCTCCTGCTTACTATTGCATAAAACTATATCAAAACTCAAAAAGTTAGGGCAAGCCTGAGGCCTAATAAATTCAGTCAAGATTTTAGACGTATTTTGGGAGAGAGTTAAGGTGCTTGCCGGATAATAAACCACATTATTTCAAAAGTTTTGAACTTTAATTACGTTAGTTAATTGTTGTTTTTTCAGAGTAAATTACTATGAGCATCCTATTGTTTGATCATTTTTTTTAAACTAAGTTTTTAAATATTATAATTTGCAACTTGAAATTTGATGGCGAATTACATTTTACATTCTTAGAAGTTGGCGTGAAAAAAACTAATAAACTCTTCCTTTCAAAACACATAATCCTACCATCCTGAGTTGATCCATCATTTTAGAGGTTCTTTATGGTGTCGCTCATAATTTTTAAACTAGTTCTAGGAAATTCTTTCTAGAATTTAGATTTTATTTACTGTTCTATAAATATGAATTAAAATAAAACTTTTGGATGAAATAAATTAAAAAGAAAATAAAACATCTATTGGTTTTATTATGGACCAATATGTAATCCATCATGGATTGCAATAAATAATGTCACGTGCAATGTTTATTCTTGTTTTGTTTTTGAGCCTTAATATTTTTTAGTCACTACATTATTTTTTTTATTTAGATATTTTTATACTGAATTGATTTACATTTGAATTTCAAAATTTGTTTTTGTTAGTTTAATATAAGGTTTTCGTGATGTTTAAGAGAAAAATCTGAGACTTGGTTAATATTCGATTTGAAAAAATAAATTTTAATTTTATTAATTTAAAATAATTAAAGTTTTAGGAATTGAATTGAAAATGAAACAAATGCTTAATTTTTTTTTTTCCTGGTGAAAGACTAAAGTGAATGAAAAGAGGAAATGTTTTACACATGCCAAAATACGAGAAAGGCTGCCTCACTGTGACTGTGCGGGGGTTGTCTTTTTTATATTAAATTTGATTTTTATTTTTTTATTACTATTTTGAGCAATAACTATACTTTGGTTTTGCAAAATTAAAACTCTATAAATCATAGAATGATGCTTGGAATCATGAATACATGAGATATGAACACATGAGATAATACGAGAAAAAAATATATATAAAAAGAAAAAAAATATATGAATATGCATCACAGGAGGAAGACAGAATCCATTATAGGTTGCAATGGATACCTATAATGGTTTCCCATGTCAGCGTGATCATTATATATTTTTTTTCTCATACATACATAATTTTTATATTTTTTTTATTAAAACTTGCTTTTATGGTTATTATAAACTATTTTTAAAAAAGAATATTGTGATAAAAAATATAAAAAAGGAACACATTATAAAATGAATGATTTTTAAACAGAAATAATTTTTTATTCGTATTGCAAATCATTCAATCTTTATATATTTATTCTAATTACTTTTTGTTTTTATTGAATGAACAACATCGCCCAGAAAGCTAATTGTTTCATCCTGAAAACAACATTGCAAATCAATGTTCAGCCGCAGCATGGGGGCAGCATTAACTTGGAAAAATCCCCCCCAGTTATTTCATAAGCTCCATTTTCTCCTGTACAAGCCATTAGCCATTCTTGCTCAAAGTGCACTAGTTATTCAAGAAACCCTTGACACGGTCCAGCCCTTCAGCAGATATACTCCTCCTTCTATGGTTCCTAGGAATTTCAATCTTCGGAGGTGGATCAGGAGAGAAACAGATAACTAAAACTGTCAGGTTGTCACATGTATTGCGCTGGAGAGCTTCTGTGACGAGAGCTTTTGAACATCTCTCAGGATCATTATGCATCATCAGCCCCTTCCTAACCATTGTGACTGCACATTGGCTACTCATTACATCCCATAGGCCATCACAGCCTAGTATCAGAAACTCATCTTCTTCTGTCAGGTTGATCTCCTCCAACTCTGGCTCGGAACTTAAGGGGCTTTTGGAACCTTTAGGGCCTTTAATGTGCCAATCTCCAAGAGCACGAGCCACCGACAATTGGCCATTAAGGTAGCCATCATATATGATCCCTCCCAATCTCTCAATTCTTGTTCTTTCGGAGGTGCAGTTGGGCTTGTGGTCCTTCGATAGCTCGATCGCTCTTCCTCGTTTTCCCAACACAGCTCTTGAATCACCAGCATTAGCGATAAGCATGGTCCTACAAGAATGCAGTATCGAACGGAAAAATTACTAACACGGGTTTATCAGCACCTACAAATTCCAAAGCAGTTTAGTTTTTCTCTCACCTTCCCAAAATAAGGGCCATCAAGACAGTGGTACCAGATGAACTATCAATAGATTTAGTATCAGCAAGTGCATGATCAGTCTTCACGAAGGCACTCTTAATTGCCCTCTTTGTGCCTGAGGGAAACTGGGAGTCTTCGACAATGAAATTAAGAATGTTCTCTCTGGTAAAGGAGGCTGCATCAGTGCCACCATGTCCGTCAAACACCTGCGGAAATAAACAACATAAGTGCACCAACTTAGTGAGCTCTACAATATTTAAGGCCAGTTGTCAAGTAAGCTACACTGATGCCTCTTATCACCTGTTTAAAAAACAACCATATTTTGGTTGGATCACTATGTATGCAGAAAAAACAGGTTACGGACACAAGAAAATGATTATGTCATAGTTAGGAAAATTCTTTAGATCAAGGAGAAATGACTCAAGTATTCTAACCTAACAGCAACTTACACACCCCATAAAATGCACCAGGAGACGGAAAATCTACTGATGTAGCAAGATGTTTGTGTAGATTATCTACGCATATATGCTCATCCTCCATGTACTGCTTCGGTCCCTTCTCTGTCCAGCTTCCGGAGCGAAAAATAGGTAGAAATGCAGAATTTTCAGTTGATGGTGATACTAATCCCAGAATTCCAATTTCTGATTCCTACATGCACAATAGCAGAGGGACCATCAGATGAAATTTACCTTGTATATATGGATCAGGCATCCATACATAAATGATCCATCAAACTTTCCACCAAGCAATATCTATTCTTCTTAAGAACCTGAACATGCATCCACTTGTGCCACTCACGAGACAAAACACGCACAAATGTTTTGGTAAGAGGTTAAAGATAAATGCACACAAGCTTCTGCAAATTAATTGAGAGACATCACATTGTAACTTAATAATTTGATATAGTTATAGTTAGATCCAACTAATTGGACATTTGTTTCGTAATCAATTGCAGCACAAAGTTTTGCAGTGGAACGCTGCTCTTTTGAATATTTTGCAAGCTTAATTCTTTCCAAAATACTTTTACTTGACCACAGCAGGACCTTGACAAGAGCGCTATGGATTAATTTTCTAGTTTCAAGAAAATGCCTCCCTACATCCTAATATGAAAAAATGTTTTCTAGAAAGTGTTTCTAACTTGTTTTTTCAAACAATTAAGCCTGTAACTATCAAACAAAGTTCAAATTTTCAGGCTAAAATAATATGGCAATTACTTTTTCAGCTAAATCAAACCATCCCACACGATCTATTGCAATCACTTGACTGAATGCATGGATCTACATTCATAACGAAGAAGGTTTCCTATCATGGATAGGAAAGAATATCAACTTACATTAGAACCTCATTCAACTAGAACATAATGATAAAAGAAGGGTGGATAAGAAGACAGATTAACTCACAAAATCTGTAAAAAATGCAGAGCTGCTACAATGCCTGACTATTTTGATGTTTCTTGGAGGTTTACCAGCACTCAATTGGTTCAAATTGTCCAAATTCTCATCTTCCGTGGCAGAGGCACTGCCTTTACTAGTACCACACCCCCCATCCCATCTTTCTATCTGAAGTGAAGCATTAGTCCCTTGAGCCATTCTCCAAGTCTACTCCATTCTCGATTTTCAATAAAGAGAAAGGGAGCAAAAAATATAGCTTATTGGAAACACTTGCATTTGCTAGCCACGCCCTCAGCCTGTGAAGAAGCCATCTTTAGATACATCCAAAGAAAATCCGTCAGACAGCAAAAGGTGTCCACCAGCTGGTTCAAAGCCAAGCACTGGATCCAATATTCAAATGCTAGCTAAGCTACCAGCAAAAGACTCTCACCTCTCATTTTCTTAAATTCTTGAAGGAATTCAGCACAGTTATTGAAACTTTGACAACATAGATCAAGATTAACAGAAACCCAGATCAAAACTTAGTCCAAAAAGAACAAGTGTTGAACACTTGAAAATTTTGCAGAATGCATGAGATACAACGAGAGAAAAACAAAGAGAACAAGCACATGAAAATAGGCAAGGGGAGGCCATTAAAAGGAAAGAGAGGGAGATTAAATTTATGTGGTTGAGTAACTGAGGGATTCCAGCATTTTACGGTAGCCATTAGAGGGAGTTGAAAGTTGAAAAGAAAGGTTGTATGGGCACGTGTTATATCTTTCTTACAAGAATCCCAGAACGGACATATGTAATTATGAACATGTTGTTTTAGTTTCATGGTTCTCCGTGTCTGAACTTGGCATGTCATTCAACCATGAGATTAGCATTCCGTAATGCTGTTGATTCATTATTGCTTGCTCTGCATGACTTCCGAAGTTAGGTGCCACCAAAAATCTTGATGCTAGGGAGGCATGTGTAGATAGCTAGCTAGGTATGACAGTGTTGATTGTGTAAATTGCATCGTGCCAGCAAGACATGAGGGTGGTGGCCTCTACCTACACACGTGTAGGTTATTACCTTCGATTAATTGAATCCTTTTGTTACTAATTTCATTAACCGAGTCCTTACATTTTATACTCTTTTAAAGTATTTTTTATTTTAAAAAATTATTTTTAATATTAACATATCAAAACTATCTAAAATATAAAAAATTTAGTTAGAAAAAAAATAAAAACTACCACTTTCTTAAGTATAAGATTTGCATTTGACAATGGCCTACAAAAATAGTTGTTCCTAACTTGAGGGTAGGATAATAGTTTTCGTGTGAGTTAACCATTTTATCATCCATTCTTTTATTTTTGGAGGTTTTTTAGGGTGTATGTATCTTTTCATTTTTTTACACAGTGAAATTATTTTTTTATTTCTAAAATAAAAAAATTAAAACATTTGGTCAAGGGCTTCTTTAATTTTTCACAGAACTTCTTAATACTAAAAATAATTCTTAGCCCCCTAAATCAAAAAATCATACAAACTTAGCCTTAGATGAGACAAAAAAAAGTTTTGTATGTTGAGATATTTTTATACTTTACACAAGTGTTTTTTATAAGTTTTTTTTTTTTTGAAGGGGGGAATTGTTTATAAATGAGAGAAGCTATTGACACATATATTGTATATGTCAGTACATAAGTGATATCCATATTATTTAGACGATGTTTTTAATATAACTCAGCGATTAAAGGTGGCCTTTGATCATCTTTTTGGATGCTCCATCATCTTTTCTTTCCTTTGAAGTGGTGCGTGAAAACTAAAAATAGTCGGATTGTCGCAAACAATCATTTTTTTTTCTCTTTCCTTACAATTAAAGAATACCATTATCTTCTTTGGTTTTTTTTTTTTAGTGTCAATTTCAAACCCCATTCTTTTTATTTCTTATTTTATTCTTATTCCTTTTATAAATTTTGTTTGTTTTATAATTTAGTCCTTCAATTACACTTTCTCAAATGCTTTATTTTTAATTTCAATCCTCATTCTTTTAATTTTTGATTTCGTTCTTATTCCTTTTATAGTTTCAGTCATCATTCTTTTGATTTCTTATTTCATTTTTATTTCTTTTTAAGAAGTTTTTAGTTTTTCAATTTAGTCCTTTAATTATAATTTATCATTTGATTTGTTTTTAATTTTAGTTTTCATTCTTTTAATTTCTTATTTCATTCTTATTTCTTTTAAATAATTTCTTAGTTTTTCAATTTAGTCCTTTAATTATAATTTATCATTTGATTTGTTTTTAATTTTAGTTTTCATTCTTTTAATTTCTTATTTCATTCTTATTCCTTTTATAGAATTGTTTGTCAATTTAGTCCATCGATTACAATTTTTCAAATGCTTTTTTTTTTTTTATTTTGGTTCTTGTTTTTTAAAATTTTAATTTTTTTCTTAATCCCTTTGTTTAAGTTTTTTGTACTTTCATTTTCATCCTTCAATCAATTTTTTTTCCAGTTTAGCCCTCATTTTTTTGAATTTTTTTTAATAGTTACTTTTCAATTCAATTTAACTTTCCAACTAAAAATTCTTATTTTTTCTCTAATTAATTTTTTTCACCCTCAATTTTTAAAAGATTATTTTATGTAATTAATTTTTTTTCAAGTTTTATCTTTTAACATTTGATTCATTAAGAATTCTGTTTCATGCAATTTTATCATTCTACATTAGTTTTTATGAGTTTATATAAAAAATACATTGAAGAAACATGTATACCAAATATTTTTTTAAAAGAAATTACAACTTCCGGCGAAACACATATTAAATAACTAGTTGATGCTAGATAATACATAGCTAGCTTAATTAATCGTAGAGCTGGTAAGATATGTATATGTAGGTGTGCTGATCGTGTAATCTGGATTTTGCAAGCAAGATATAATAAGGAGGATCATGAGCTTCTTATATACCAAGAGATTAAGCTATATAGAGAATTGATTTAAAAAAATCCAAGGAATTTTCTAATTTTTTTTAAAACATAAGTATCAAATAATAATTTATTCAATTTTTATGCAATTTTAATTTGTTGACTTAAAAGCTCAATATATTTTTTGGTGTCATAAATAAAAAGAGACATGTTAATCCCAAACATATAATAGTTGTGATGCAATGATTTATAAAATCTTAATAAATCTATAAAAATCAAAGTTTAAGGTATTTTTTCAAATACTTAATTAATTCTACAACATAAATTTCTTATTAATCAAATTCATATTTGAAATCAAGTATTTTTACCAAATCAAAAGGTTGCCAACTCTCAAATTATTGGCAGGGACAAATATTTTACAAAGCAATCATTTAGCGTCAAACTATTTCTACTCGACTGTAAATACAGACTACAAGGGTAACAAACGAAATTAAAAGTTTGTTTGTTTGTATTTTTTTTAAAAAAAAACAAATGATGTAAGCCTTTAATATAAAAAATTAACCCGATCAAAATATAATACAACTAAGAAAATTATAAATCAATGATTATTAATCTTTATTTATTGTGAAAAAAATAGGCAAGAGAAACTCAAATGATTAACAATCTAGGTTAATAACTTTGAGAGATGTATCTCAATTAATTAGGTTTTAAGTTTACTTTTTAGAGGTCACCAATTTAAGTTCTATAAACTTTAGAGCTGTTAAAAGTTTATATAGTCGTTAATTTCAGGACCTGTGAGTTTAGTTGAAGTGTATGCAATTTGATCAAAATACCTATATTAATAAAATAAAATAAAAAAACCTATGTTAACAATCTAATATTGAACACTTCCAATCTGGTTGCTTATATAGGCAGAGTTTCAAATTAAACCGTATGAGAATTGCTACAATATAATTTAATTAATTTGATAGATTCAAAAGTTAACTCAAATGACTATAAAAGTTTGGATTTGCTAAAAAAAGATGATATTTTGTTATTGTTTTAATATTAAAAATGAGACATATCATATTATATATGGTCAACTAGGTAAACGTTATATATACAACACTTGTTATGAACATGACCATAATGCAATAACTCATATGAGCAACTATTTATTTCCTTTTTCTTTCCTTGTTTTATTATTATTTGGGCTTTGTTTGGGTTTTGATAGGATGAAAATCAATATTAAACTAAAGATTTGACAAAGAATAAAAACTAAATTAAAAGAATAGGATATGAATCAAGTGAGATGATATTTGAGCTTTAATGAATAGTTATTATCGAATTAAAGATTAAATTAAGTAACACTTGGATCTTCATTAAAGAGTTATTAATGAATTCATATTAAATTAGACATATTAAATGATATTCGAAGCTTACTTGAAGAGTGATTATCAAATTAGAGATTATAGTGAAAAACTAGAAGAAAAAAAAAGTGTTGGCACCTGTAAATCATATATTAGCATGTAAGGAGGCTAACCAATTTTACATGGTGTGTGTGGTCTCCTGCCATAACCAAAATCAGTTTTGTTTGGTGTTTTTATAACCATCTTGGCATCTTTGTTCTCTCTATATAGTGTGTGATTAGTACTTAAAAGTGTATTTTTATCATGGTTTTATATCGTCATTTTGCACTTGAAGTATCAATAACTCCTTAACTAAAACATGTTTTATAATAATATATCTAATAATATAAGATACCTTTAATTTATGGTAAATGTTCATTTTAAATGCAAGTCTATCACATAAATGAAAGGATTGATTAATGAATTTAAGAACTGAAATTGGAAGGACAAAGAGATGGCCAAACTTAGAAAAGAGATATCGGTGCAGTCCACATCAGAACATTGTTCGGTAATTGGGTCATATCTGGAGCTACAGATCTCAGATTTAGGTCCAATTTATATGGATGGAAAGGTAAGACATAGGCCTACAACTTTCATATGGAGCCCAAGATCTAAAAAGGCCATTATCAAGTCCAAATTGTAGCAACAACAAAGAAGCCCGAATCTGTCTTCCAGCCCGAGCACTGTTCGGTATTTTGGCCATATCTGGAGTTCTAGAAGTCCAAATGAGCTGAATGTTTTACACAAGAAAGCTGAGACAATTGCCTACAACTTTCATGTTTGCAACTGGCTCCAATTTTGACGTTATCAATGACGTTTTGGGCAGACAAAAGAAGATAAGGATTGTCACCAAGTCAAAAGTTGGTCACCCACTTATCAATTAGTCATCAAATCAATAGTTCCCATTTTTGGCCTATAAAAGGAGGCATTTGCCATGCATTTAGGCATCTTGATTTCCAGATCAAGATCATGCTCTTCCTTTCTCTCTTTGTATTTTTTATGCTTTGTTTTCATTAATATTAAGTTTATGCCTTTCATTTCCTTTCCTTTACTTAGTTAACTTTTATGTTCTTATTTTGTTTATCTATTTTGCTTTCTTTCATTATGTCTAGCTAAGTTAATTATGTCAAGGTGAAAAGGTTACACTAATGGTGTAAGAATAAGTATAATGTAAACTTAATATGGACTTTAATGTTTGATACTAACATGTTTTATATTTGTTATCTTGTTCACTCTTTAATACTTTGCTTGTTAAATGACTAATCTTGATTTATGTTGTATAACACTTGGTACAACAAATGCTTGGCACTTTCATAGCCCATAATGTATGGTATAACCGACACCTGAGCTATGAAAGGAACTTGATTTATTGTTAACATAAGTTATAATCATGAATGCTTGACGAGATTTACAAGTATTAGCATTAATTGAATAAGATGACTAATGTAATCATGT